CGCGAGGTCCGGGACCAGCCCAGCAGCGGGCGGGAAGCCGCAGCTCCCTCCTCGGAGCGGGCGATGAGCGGCGAACCGACGACCCTCGGGGCTTCCAGGGAACTGGGGGCTCGGGTTGAGCTGGCGAGGGAGGGCGCCCCGTAGGGGCGGGCCCTAGTCCTGGAGGGGTGAGAGGGAGGTATACAGACCCCTCCCTGGGGGGCGCTGGGAATGGTGCATGGGGTATTGCTAGGGTGCAGGCACGTGCTTCACCCCCAGTGCCTCTGTGCCCTAGCGCAGGGTCGCGTGCCAGTGTGTGTGCACAGGTGTGCCAGTGGCACCCCCCACAACGCTGCAGTAAATCCGCACCCTTTGCATTGGTTGAGACCTTGCTGCCAGGCACCCCCAGGAGCCCCAAGGAGAAGGGAAGAGCACTGGGGATAGACCCTGATAGCCGACCTCACCCCTCCACTCCTGGAAAATTCCTGCAGGCTGCAGAGCTGGGGCCCAAGACTTGCCCAACCCACTGCAAGAGGCAGAGAGAAGGGCTCCCCCAGAAGGGGCCTCTGGAGAAAAAGGAGGATTGGGTGGCCCTGGGCCTTCTTCAGGCCTGAAGGAAAACCTCTCTATCGCCAGAAGCTGGCGCGAGTGTGCCAGCCTGTGCGTGTGCCCGTGCCACACGTGAGTGCACACCAGCTCCCCTCTGCAGGGGGCTCCAGACCAGAGATTAGCCTCCCACTGTGAAAACAAAGGCCCTTTGTAGGCCCCTGGCCTTTGTCTTGGGACTGGGGGAGATTTGCAACTGGACACTTCTTGAAAGGAGACACTCGTTTTGTTTCGCAAGTGAGCCCTCTCACAGGCACACACCTATGGCTGGCAGGGCAAGGCACTCAGGCACGCAACCACAGGCACCCGGCAACACCCTGCCATTACCCACCCCTCCTGCTGGGCCCCCTCCCCAGCAGCCCCCATCCCTCCCCAGAATCTGTTCCTCCCACCCGTGCCCTCTGGACGCTCCCTCCCTTCAGTCTGGAGGAGGGACCAGCCACTCGCTGGCAGGAAGGGAGAAGAAAACCAGCTAAGAGGTGCTTAGCTGGTCTGTGTGTGGAGCCGAAGCTTCTGAATGTCCAGGCGGGTGTGTGGTTCTCAGATGAGATTAAATGGGAGTAAGTGATCTGATGCATGTAAAGATGCTGTGTGAACTGTAATTCCTCATGCCATTATCATACATTATTAGGATCATTTCATTATCCTGCCTCCTTCCCTGGGGGTGAATGCAGAAGGGGCCTGACCCCCAGCCTCTTGTACCTCCATTAGTGGGGTTAGGGGTTAGGGCCATGCTCCTCCAGGCTCTTGACCTCTCCCAGCCCTCGGTGAACCCTGGCTATTCCCTCCCTTCCTTCCTCCCACCCTCTCAATAGCTAGTCCCCGTCTCCCCCAAAACTGAATGTAAGGCTCCCAGGACTTCCAGCCCAGATCACCCAGATTTGGGTCATGTGGGACAAAGGTCAGCAGGATTCAAAGTGATAGGTAGAGGGGAACTAGCTGTGTGTCCCAGGCTCTGTGCTTGCATTAGTTCACCTCATTCTCCTAAAATACCAGGCAGGTTAGGGCAGACGAAGGCCCCGCTGCCACGCAGGGCCTTCTGTTTGCAAAGTCATCTCCCGTGATTCCCTCCCAACCCTGAGATAGGCAGATAACAGCTGTTCTTCTCATTTTAGAGATTAAGAAATTGAGGTGAAGAGCTGGTCTAAAGTCAGGCAGCTCTATATAGTGGAGCCAAAATGGAAACTCGGGCCTTCTTAGTTGAAATCCCTCAGTCTTTTCACTCAGAGGTCAGAGGAGAGCAGGTGGATGCTCAGGCCGGTCAGTCCTGGGCTGGAGAAGGCTGGCGGGAGCTCGAGCACACAGCTGGCCTGTCCAGTTCAACCCACTGTCCTGTGGACACAAGGTCCCCAAGAGGGCTGTGGAGGTGGGTGAAAATGACCAAGAACATGGGGCTGGTTTCTGCCCTTGAAGAGCCCCCAGTGTGTAGGAGGGTGGTGCCCTGATATACCCCAAACCAGATGGAGGCAGGTGGATGGGTCTCCAGGTCCTCAAGCTCGGAGCTGAAGGGAGGAGGTGTCTGTCCACTGGGCCCAGCACATTTCGCCCCATACTCTCACTTCTTGCCATAGTCCCACCTGCAGGTGTGGCTTTGATGTTCTTTTATGTTTGGATGCTGTTTCTGTGTGGGTGCAGATACCCAGAC